AAGGGCAAGGAAGTGTCTTACAAAGTGACCTGCTGCTCACAAAATGCTATACCTAGATCCAAATGTTCTCTGAAGTCCCCTGTGTTAAAGAGCAGGTCTTCAGCATGGGGAGAGGGGAGCAGTTGGGAGGTGGTGGCACCTCACTATGGTCTGCTATGAAGTACTCCAAAAGGCTTGGTCCCCAGCAGGCAGATCTGATCACTGAGAGGTCATCAGATCATGAGGGCTTTGACCCAGTCAGCAGATCCATTCCCTGGTGAGCTCCTGGCTAGAAGGCTTTGCTATTAGTATTGGTGGCAGGAACCAGAGGTGGGGTCTGACTGGAGAAAGTAGGACACTGGGGTGTTTTTGAGGGATATATATATTTGAGACAGGGTTTCTCTGTCCTGGAACTCGCTCGGTAGACCAGACTAGCCTTGAACTCACAGAGATCCACCTGCCTTTGCCTCCCAAGTGCTGGGATTAAAGGCGTACACTACTACTGCCTGGCTAATTTATTTTTTATTAAGAGTTTTTTATTCATTTTACATACCAACCACAGATCCACATCTCATCCCTTTTTCCATTTTCCCCAACCTCCCCCCAACCCCTCTCCATTCCCTCCTTTGAAAAGGTAAGGCCTCCCATGGGGAGTCAGCAAAGCCTGGTACATTCAGTTGAGGCAGGTCCAAGCCCCTCCTCCTGCATCAAGGCTGTGCAAGGCGTTCCATCACAGGTAATGGGCTCCAAAAAGCCAGTTAATGCACCAGAGAGATCCTGATCCTATTGCCAGGGGCCTCTCAAACAGACCAAGCTGCACAACTGTCTTGAGCTGGAACTGCATAGATGGACCTTCATCCCAGAGAAATGAAGGTGGGTGTCCTCAAACATTCTACCTATGTGTTTCCTCTTAGTAACTTCATTTGTGATGGTCCCAAGCTGGAAATCACCCTGGCACTTCTCAGAGGGTGCCCAGCTAGCAAACTGTGGCAAGTCTGTTGCTTATACCATGGACCTCTGCCCTGGGACCCATGTGATGGCCTGGATGAACCAGAGCCTCATGCTGAGTGAAAGTGCCAGCCCTGGAGATCCTGAGGTTCCATCTTGAAAAGACAAAGATACAGAGAGAAGAACAGGACAGAGTTTGCCAGGGTGAGGGACAGGGATGGGTATGGGCTGGGGTAAGGCATGTGTCTAAAAAAGGGCAGAGTCGTCTTAAGGGGTCTGTCAGGAGCCACCTTACAGGAAGGAGAGTTTATTTCGGCTCACAGTTGGGGGATATCGCATGATGGAGGGGCAGCAGGAGGCCCTGGGAGGAGGGAATGCTGCTGGGACTTCTGGCTTCTTCACATCTTGATGAAACAGGAAACAGGGAGCAGACAAGAACTGGGATTGGATTATCAAACCTCAAGGCCTGTCCTCAGTCATCTACTTCCTCTCACAAGTTCCATATCCCTCAGGTTCTGTGAACCCATGGGGAGCATTTCATATTTACATCATCATAGGTCTTTTGTATCTTGATGGCAGGGGTCAGAGTTGCATGTGTGGCAGAACAGCACAGAAAGAGATGCATAGACACAAACACCTAGACACACAGACACTCACGCATACATGCACATGTATAGGCTCACATACAAATATAGACACACAGATATACACACACACAGACACAGATACCTAGACACAGACAGATGTACACACACAGACACATAGATACACATAGACACAGACACAAAGATATCAAGACACACAAAGAGTTCTGGTGACACTGGCCAGCCCTTAACATGGCTGTGGCTGCACTGATGCCACCTCCTAGGTGTGGCCCATGTGCCGATCTGGTGCACTCTACTGTGAGGGTGAGGCGAAGGTGGGGGTGGCTGGCTGTATTACTTCACGTGGCCACACATGAATATATATTTCCTCAACAGGCCCATAATTTAGACAAAAAGACATTTCTAGTGAATTCCTACAGTTGAGAGAAGACTGGGGTCGTGGAGGGGAGTGAGGTGAGCGCAGACTGCACATAGGACCCCGGGCTGCTTAAGAGTGGCCCTGAATGAACCCCGCCCTTGAATGTTCTCCAACAGCTTAGTCAATATTTAATCTTCTCCCATTTGTTTCCCATTAGGACGCACATCCGAAACCTCTCATTAGCCCATCTTTCCAGAGAATAATGACTAATTTCCGGCAGTAGCTCTCCTTTCTCCCACAAAGACCCTTCCATTATTGTAATTTACCGATGGAGAAGAAGAAATTGCAGACAATTTCCAGGGCCCAGGGACTGCTACGGGAAGGATACCACATCCTTGCCCTTGGCTGGGGACTGGGGAGAAGGGAAACGCCAGGTTAATGTGACATCATCAGGCCTCATCCCAGAGTTGGTCTGAACACATGACTCCTCCAGGGACCAGAGACAGACTCTTTAGTCCCAGGAGCCCTGAAAGCCACGCAGGACTTATACATAGTCCTTGGAAAGCTAGCTATGAGCAGCCTGAGAGCGGGGTTCAGACCTGTGAGGGCTCCCCTTGCCTGGCCAGCTCTGGGAATGACCCACTCTTGGATCTGCAGGCCCTGTGGATTATGGGGCTTTCTGAGAGGCAGTGTGGCAACATGTTGCTTGGTTTGTCCTAATGAGTCAACGCCAGCTACACCTGCTGTTTTTTATTATCATTATTTTTTCTGTTTGCTTTAAAAGAAGGTGTGGGAAGCCTGATTTGTGAGAGGAAGACCAGGGGAACTTCAGGCCCTTTAGATAAGGCCCAGGTCTCGGATGACAGGCCACCTGCCTCTGCGCTAACGAGAACACACCCCAGCAGCGCCTGCCCCTCCCTCCAGCCCTTCCATGAGGTGCCCTTGGCTGCTCTCATTCGTTTTCCTCAGTTGCTGGTAGCTAATTTGCCCGCCCACCACCTGTCCCTGCCCCTCAAGGGACTGCCTTGGGATGAGCTGCCTAAGGTTCCACAGAAATAATGTTACATCCTGTTCCCTCTGGTGACACTGGGGCTCGCCAGTGTCTCACCGTCCTGAAAGACAATCACTCGAGAATGCAATCATCTTGTTGAGACAGCAGTCCCCAGAGACGGAGCAATGACAAACTCCACCGGTGGAGGAGAGTGTGATAAATGTTTGCCCTCCTGCCCCAGCCAGATGAGGCTGACCCCTCATGGGGCCCACAGAGCTGGGGAAGCAGGTGGCTTCTTGGAGGACAGCCTGGTCTGGCTCTGCTTACATTTGATTTCCAAGAGGAGACTGCCTGTGTTTTGCCTGGTGCTCTGTAGAGGCCAGAGCTGGGACTGGCGGGTAAAGTACAAGACACTAGGTAAGTAATGAAGGAAAAGAAATGAGAGAGACATTTTAATGTGTCTGAGAAACCCATGTGGAGTGGCTTGCTGTCTGTCTTAACTTCAAGCTCACCTGGGTATCACGGGTTTTAAATGGCTATACCTGGTATCTTCAACAGAGGCTTCTGTGACCTCATCCATTCTACCCTTCCTGGGGCAAAGCTTGTCCAACGAGGTCCTCCCAGCCCTCAACACAGGAGACAGCTCAGTGGGATCACATAGGGATTTGTTAATAGGCTGACATCTTCTGAAGAGACCCAGCTATCGGGCCTATCAGACGTGGGGCTGGCTAGCACTCTGCACCCCTACATAGGCCTCCAGCAGGGTTGGGAATGTGGGTACCTGTATGGTGTCCTCCTTACACAGCTGCCTGGGTCTAAAGTGACCTCACTGCTAAATGGTTAGTGGTACACCTTCTTGTCAGTAGTTGTAGAGTGCAGAGATGTTGAGACCTGGCTTACAGTGAGGTAAAGCCATGTGTCCTACAGGTCTGTGGGAAGACAGGTTCCTGGGTCACTCCTCAGGGGGACAGAGGGCCTTGGCACAGGGGCTCACCTTCTGGGCTGGGAGAAGGGTTTGGCTTGTTTGGTGGGCCTTGGTCTCTGGTCTGGTTTCCTGACTCAGGTTGGCAAAGCTTCTTCCTTTCCTAGGCTCTCTTCCAACACATGTTCCCCTCTCCTGTGCTTTAGCTCCTAGGCTACATGTTACCATAGAGACAAAAAGACCAAAGGCCAAAGCAAAATCTCCTGCTCTAACGATCTAAACCTCACTTCTTGGAGCCTGACCCAGGACACAAACAATTAGAGCCTATCCCCTAATGACTCCTGGGCCTCAGCCCAGATGGCCAGTTTTGTGGAGGACAAGTGGTGTTCGACAATTTCTACCTTAAGGAGAGGTAGTTCAGCTGCTAACACGCTTGCCTTGTAAGCGCGAGGATATGTGTTTGACTTCCAGAGCCCTTGTGAAAATGCCAGGCACAGTGGCACATACTTAAAAATCCCAGAGCTGGAGAGGCACAGACAGATGAGCCCATGCATGGGGTTTGCTGGCCAGCCAGCCTAGTCAATGCAGAGAGTTCCAGATGAGTGAGACCGTGTCTCAGAAAACAGGGTGGATGATAACTTGAAGAACAACACCCAAGGTTAACCTCTGGCCTCCACATACACACTCTTACATGTGCACCCACATCGACACACACCCCAAAAACATTTACTACAAGATAAAGGTGAGCACCCTCCTCTTACCTATTCAGATATGACCCCATGCAAACAACCAGTGGCCAGGCAACTTCTCTTAATTGCTATAAAATATTTCCACTCCTCAGGAGTTTGTCCATTCATCTGCTGTCTTTCTGTCCTTAATGTTGATTCTTTCTTAAAACTTTCATATCAATTCTAGTCTGGTAAAAACTTTACTCCCTTGCCTAGGGTCTATCCTTTCTGGCACAATAGTCCCCTCTTCCCGTCTCCTCCTGCACCCAAGGTTTGAGCTCTGTCAGGCTATTCACTATTGCTACAGCACCCTCTCTATGTAGCCTCTTGGTACCCTGAGGTGTGTGAGGATGAGGATTGTAAAGACTTGGGCAATGTTGTGTGTTAATAGCGCCAGTCCCATGTATGGGTCCTGCAGAGTCCATGGGGTCCCCCAGAAGCAAATGCCAACACATCTGCCAAGCCTCACCTGGCTTGGAGCCCTCATCCACAGAGCCGTTGTAGACCTGGTTGATGAACTCGGGCCGGTTGTCATTCATGTCGATGACGTAGATATACAGATCAATAGGATTCTCCACCTTGTTGCCGTTCATGTCCACCGCGTGGGCTCGGAGCTGTGGGGCGACAGGCATGTCAGAACTGGCAGTCACATTCAGGGGTATGCCTGCCTCTGTTGTGGGTGGTCCCCCAGGGACTCACAGCACTGGGGTAGCACTATAGCTCTCAGCTCCCTGGGGAAGGGGGCGGAGACAACCTGGGTGGTGCTAAGGTGGGATTGACACATCCAGAAACATCTGTGAGCGTTGGTTCTCCCCTCTGCAGATGGGGTCATGTGAGCAGAAACAGGGTAACACCCTCTGTCTGTGCTGCCAACATCACCTGGAGTCCCTGGGTCTGACTGATGTTTTCACATGCCCGGGCTGGACAGGTGCCCTGCAAACAGGATTTTATGTCTTTTCACAGTGGCTGCAGCTAGGCCACGGGTGCCCAGTGGAGCAGTGGGGCCTAGATGATCTCCTGAGAGGTTGATGCAGGGAAGGACCTGGGGAGGGAGCTTCATGGGTCCACAGAGAGGCCTGAGCAAGCCTTGGGAGAGGATGCTGCTTTAGACGTGAGCTTAGGCCCATCTGTTTCTGCTTGCTGCATTGTGGAACCTCGCATAGTGAGGCAAAGGATGGCCAGAGAGAGACCATGGGGGACAGTCGGCTTGAGAAGGGGCTCCAGGCAGCTGTGTTAGGAGTTGCCCTCCAAATCCACCCACTCATTTATTCCTTCCCAAAGTGCCTACAAAGGGTCCACAAGCACTGGATGCTGTGCTGAACCTTAGACCAGAGGTAAAGCAGACAGGGCTGCTTGGGATGCCTCTCATCAGAGGTGGGTAGGGACACAGAAAAAGAAAGAGGCAATCTGTCTCTTAGGGGAAGGACAACTTAGTCACATGATTCTTCGGGGCTCTGCCCCATGGGATGGAGTGTTTAGGGAGAAAAGGAACACAGGCTTTCTACCTCAGTTTGTGACTGATTCAAGCTGGCCAGGACCCTGGGGACCTGCTGTGCTATCATTGGGCCCCGCAGTCTGCTCATCCTCTGGTAAGGTGACCCTGCTGCAGATCCTGCCTTCAGTTCTGAGCTTTCACATAGAGTGGAGGGCAATCACAAGACGTTACCTCGTTTCTGCAGAAGTGATGTCATCCTAACACCATGTCAAAGGTGGACACACGGGACCTGTCAGTCACAGACGCTCTATGCTCACCGTGTGCCATTTAATTTGTATGATTTGTCTCATTATTTTGAAATTCTTGTTATATTTTGGACCAGAGGCCCACCGTCCACTTAATGTCAGGACTAAAACTCCATGCCTGTGCTGTCGACAGGACAAGCTGGGGCAGGGGCAGCAAAGTGAGCTGCACACTGCTCACCACAGGCTGAAGGTGGTGGGCCTGAAAAGTCCGAGTTTGCTGACTCTTCTATTAGGAAGATTATTGGAGATGCAGAGGAAGGGAGCCCAAGAAGGCTCGCCATAGCTGGTTTCCTGCCTGGGACAGCCTGCCAGCAGCTGCTGTGTCCCAGAAGCATGAAAGCAATTTTGGAGATGTCCTGAAGCACAGGGCAGATAGAGCATTCTAGTGGGAAATCAGAAGACTTGATAGGGCCCTCAAGTCAAGGCCTCAGGGAGGGGAGGAAGCAGAAAGCAGAAACTCTTCAGGCCGGGGGCTTTCCGTTACAGACCATGATAATTAAAAATGAATCTGTCTAATCCTGGAAGAAGTAAGTTTAATCAGTGAGTGGCTTCCTTCTGTGGCCCATGAGGAAGCAAAGTGCTCTGTATCAGAGCTGACTCCAGGCGATCTGCCTCCCAGGGAAAGAGAGGGTGAGTGGGATAGGCTATGCCTGTTCCGTCTTTCTCCAAACTTTCAATCTCACATCTTGTTGAGGTCCTCCCTCTGGACTTGGGTGCAGATGTCTTTAAAGGACATGTTCTAGAGGTGATGTGTGCATGAAGCAGGCAGGAGAACAAGAAGGGGGGGGAGGTGTCTGGAAAGGGGAGGGATGTGGCCTGTCAGAGGGCCCTTGTCATAGCTTTGTCAAGTGTTACTTGGATTTCACAGTGAGGCAAGGCCCCTGGGGGCTCCCGGGCGAGGCACTGACCCTTTTTGGGTAGAAACCAGCGCCCAAGCTGAGTTCTTACCACCTGCTTGAGTCTGTTCCTGAGCCAAGCCTCAGCCCCAAGCATCATGCTAGCCCCGAAAATGAAGTCCAGGGCAGAGATCAGTTCCAACTATCTTTCCTCCAGTTGTTCAGCCTTCGAACAAAACCATCTTCCTGCTCAAAAAGGACACAATGACTTTCCGACTTGGGCTCCTGAGGGAGTCTCTTTCTCCACCCAAGCTAAGAAGATGACTTGTTTCCTCACTTCCTCTCCTTGACCTTGGTCTCCACCATGTGAGAAGCAAAGTGAGAATTTCCAGATGGCATGTCCCGGCACAGGCCAGGGGACACTGTTGGTACCAGCACCACCACTGCTTCTTCCCACAGCCTGTGTCTGGGTCTGAAAACCTGGAGACCCAGCCTTCCTCAGGGCCAAGAAGGATTCAATTGTTCCTCAGCTTAGAACTGTGTATGTTCCCCAAAACTTGGGACATGTTTACTCCAGCCACTTCTGTTTTCTGAGTACCTACCCCAGGGACCAACACATGTGGAATGCTCAAGAAATAAATCATGCACAGAAGGGTGGATGCGCGGTTAGGATGGTTAGGGTGGATGAATGGATGAGTAGACAGTGGCTGGGTAGATGGGTAAATAAATGGGCAGATGGGTGGATAGATTGACAGGAGGAGCATGGATGGATAAGTAGATGGCAGGATGGGCAGATGGTATGTGAGTAAGTAGTTAGATATTTACCTGGATGGGTAGATAGACAGGTGGGTGGCTGGCTGGCGAGTGGATGGGAAGGTAAGTGTGAGTGGATGGACAGACGGATGAGAAATGAAGTGAGTAGATAAGGGGAGGGTGTCTGGGAGGATCATGCTTTTTCTTGAAGTGTCTCTGAAAAGGGGCATCTGGAGAGCTGAAACCAGGTACTGTGAGCCTGACAGAAGCTCCTGCTCTGTGGACTGTAAACTGCAGCTGTAGGCTTGGGTAACTATCTCAGGGCAGGAGACCTTTGTGGCTCAGAAAGGGCAAACCACATTCCTGAGGTTACTTCATTAGTTCCTTTCGCATAGCACCCTGCTCCTTAAGACTCACTGGGGGTTGGTTGGGAAGGTCACCATTGTCAGTGACAGACTCAACCTCCTATAATCCCCCCCTCTACATAGATGGGCAGTGAGTAGCTTCAGGGCCAGGCTCTGTCTTTGTCTGAAGATATAGTGTGGACAACCTGACAAATTCTTGTGCACATGGAGCCTCCTTCTGAAGAGAGGAGGTGGATGATCACTCCTGAACAAATGGCCGTCAGACCGAGGACTAGCAGGGTCATCCTGCAATCAGCACAGAGCTGAAGCAAGAAGTCACAGGAATTAATATGACAGCATGGGGCACATGCCGAGAATTAAACCTTTGTTCTCAGATAATTGTCAAAGCACCGGGCATTCAACCTCATGGCATTTAGCTACAGGCACACACAACACTCCGACCACACCTCTCTTCTAGCCACCTGATAGGGTGGATATCATCACAACCATGCCACAGCTGAGAGCTCTTCATGCTGGGGAGAGACCTGAGTCCAGGGTGGCCTCAGTGACTCTCCTGAGACTCACAGAGGTCAAGTGCTGGGCCTGACCCTCACAGGTGCTGGAGCAGAGCCCAGGGGACCAGCCATAGTGTCACTTGGCCGTACATCAGAGAGAGAGGTGGGAACCTGGCTACCTCCCTCGTGTCCAAGGCTAGTGGGGGCAAGGAGGAGGCTGAGACCCCACCGCCTCTCTTTGCTTCCCGTTTCTCCTTTCTGAGTGACTCTTGTCTTAGAGGCTCCCAGAGAGACAGCATGTAGATTAAAGGCAGACGATGTAACCCAGGAATGGACTGGCAGTGCTAATTTAAAGCCCAGTCTGGCCTGTAAGTGCTGGGGTTGGGCCTGACAATCATCTTTGATCCTTTGTTGGGCAAGTCTGATCTGGTAGATGCTAGGGTCCTCCTGTGCTTTAGGACCTTGTGGCCAGATAGAAGTGTGCCTTGCTGCTGACACCCTACAGTGTGAAGGGTGTGGAAGACTGTGGAGGGGTATGAAACATTATGGAAGGGTATGCCGGGGTGTGGAAGAGTGGGCAGTCTATAGACTACCTGTTTTTGCCATGTTCCTATATGAATACTTACATGGTAAGAGGCTCTTTCTTCCCGGTCCATGGGCCGAGTGACATACATCCGGCCAGACATGGAGTCAATGCTGAAGACCTCCATAGGGGGCTGGTCCGCTCCCACACCTGTGATGCTGTATCGGATGGGGATATCATTGTCCTTGTCAGATCTGATCTGAAAGACATAAGAATGGAGATGTGAGCCTGCTGCTGGGGTGGGCTGGAGGGCCTGATGCTTGACCACTCAGAGCATCATGGATCACAGATGGAACAGCTCAGTAACATCTCTCTCATATTGAATTTCACTTGTCCCCTCCCTGACAAAGCAACCAGTCACTATGCCCTAAGGACTTCACTTCCCTTTGGTGGTCAAACATATCCTAGAGGAAAAGAGCCAATCCACTCTGAACAGGTTTTAGGTGTATGTATAATAAGGTAACCCATGTCTTAGTGTAATCTTTTAGAGAAAAACCCCTATTTACCATCTAATGCTTATGCATATGATTAAAATACCCCTTGTTGGCACAAAAGGCCCAAGTTTCCATACGTCAATCATAAGTTTATCAGAGCAGAAACCCACTCATACCCCACCCTACAACCAATGCCTCTTCCTCAAGGACTCAGAAAGAGTCTCCAGGAATACACAGGCTCTTGAGCACTCTGGCTCACACCTGCTGCTCCCTGCCTATGTCTACCTTGCATTTCTCTTCTGAGTAAAAGTCCTTGCCATTTGGGTATTTGTGTATGGTTCTTCAATCCTTTGAAGATGCCAAGAGTCAGAGACACAATGGACTCAGACAGTAGCCACGGGTAGCAGAAGGGCAGTCAGTGGACAGGGGACTACCCAGTGCCACCAACCTCATGTCTGTGGCTCATCAGGTGACAGGGAGGTACAATATTTCAAGATTGTTTTTCATTTTTATTTTTTATTTGAGACGGGGGTTCATGTAGCTCAGGTTGGCTCAAACCTATTACACAACTGAGAATGACTTTGAACCTCCTCCACCTCCCAGGTCCTGGAATGACAGGCATGTAACATGGAGTCTAGTTTGTCTAGTGCTGGGAACTAAACCCATGGCTTCATGCATGTTAGGCAAACACTCCACAAACAGCTCCATTCCCAGCTCTCAATATTTCAAGTCCTGGGACAAGCTGTGACGTAGTATGCCAGGCCACAAAGGGACACAAGTAAGGGCCACAGTGGCAGACTGAAGTCCTCATCCACCCAAGCAGGGATCTTGCTGGGTGGGTCACTTCTTTGCATGAAACAAGACAGGACTCCCAGTGGAGGCGTGAGAGAAGTCTGAGGACAGATTTTCTTTCCAGCTTTGTTTGTACACCAAACTGCAAGCTGGCTCCAGAGAAACCCCAATTCCAAGAAAATTCAACTTGATAGAGAACACATTTCTTTCTTGTGGTGATACTGTGTTCCCCAAAATATTGTGCACCCTAATAAACTTATCTGGGGTCAGAGAACAGAACAGCCACTAGATATAAAGGCCAGAAAATGGTGGCACACACGCCTTTAATCCTAGCATTTGGGAGGCAGAGATCCATCTAGATCTCTGATCACACTGGAAACAGCCAGGCATGGTTACTCATGCCTTTAATCCCAGGAAGTGATAGCAGAAAGCAGAAAGGTATATAAGGCATGAGGACCAGGAACTAGGGCTGGTTAAGCTTTTAGGCTTTTGAGCAGCACAGTTCAGCTGAGAGGCATCCAGTCTGAGGAAACAGGATCAGCTGAGGAATTGGCAAGGTGAGGTGGCTGTGGCTTGTTCTGCTTCTCTGATCTTCCAGCATTCACCACAAGACCTGGCTTTGGGTTTGTTTATTAATAAGACTTTTCATGATTCGTGCTACACTTTCTTTTCTTTATTCATTTTTAAGGATAACTTGATTTTAAAATTTTAATTAAAATATAATCATATCATTACACCTTTTCTTCTTTCTTTCAAATTTGTTGGCTCCCATTCCTTACTTATTATTGTTACATATTATGGTGGCTTGAATAAAAATGGTCTTCATGGGAGCTGGAGAGATGGCTCAAAGGTTAAGAGCACTGACTGCTCTTCCAGAGGTCCTGAGTTCAATTCCCAGCAACCACATGGTGGCTCACAACCATCTGTAATGAGATCTGGCGCCCTCTTCTGGCCTGCAGTCATATATGCTGTATACATAATAAATAAATCTTTAAAAAAATGGTCTTCATAGACTCATTTATTTGAATTCTTAGTCAGCAGGGAGTGAAACTGTTGGATAGGATTAGAAAAATTAGGAGGTGTGGTCTTGTAGGAAGAAGTATGTCATGGGGGGTGGGATTTGAAGTTTCAAAAGCCCATGCCAGGCCCATGCTCTCTCTCTGCCTATGGATCAGGATGTGCTTTTATCTCAGTTACTGCTCCAGTGCCTGCCTGCCTGCATGCTGTCCTGCTCCCCACCATGATGGTAATGGATTAAACCTCTGAAACTGTAAGCAAGCCCCCAATTAAATGCTTTCTTTCATAAGAGTTGCCTTGATCATGGTGTCTTTTCATAGCAGTAGAACAGTGATTAAGACAGAAATTGGTACCAGAGGTGGGGTGTTGCTGTGACTGGTCTGGTCATGCTGCTTGTTGGTAGAATGCCTGTGGAGGCCCACAAAGGTTTCCTAGTGAGGTCTGAGCTTGCTTTACCCAGCAGGGCTGCATTAGAGGATTGCTTGACCATGTACATGGTTACTAGGTGATTGGAAGGGTCTGCACTTGGCTGTGCTGGGGGGGGGGGTGTCTTTTTCTCTACTCCTTGGCACTCCTATAAATAGCCCTTTAGAAGAGACAGGAGGGGCCAGTGGATAAGGATCCAGGCCCTCCCAAAGCTATCCTGTGTTTCTGTCTGTTTCTCTTCCCTCTATCCTTCTATCTAATATCTCTTATCCCTCTCTCCTCAAGAGTACCCTGCTGTAAAATGTGGGAGCCGGTCTCCCAGCTGGGCTCCCACACATGTGGGCTTTGGATTAGGAAAGCAGCTGTAAGTGATAAGTGGGTTTAATGCACTATCTTAGTAGGAATAAGGACGGTAGTGCTGAGAACAAAGTGGGGACAGTTCAAGACGTTTCAGACAGGGGGAATATTAGTAAGGGGCCAAGAGACTGTTCTTGTGATATTTTGGCAAAGAATGTGGCTGATTCATGTCTTTGTCCTAAAAATTTGCAAGAGGCTAAATTGAAGAGTTTTAGATTAATGGTCTTGGAAGAGGCGATTTCGTGACAGCCTAGGATTGCTTGTGTCATGTGGTTATGAATGGTCACTCTTATGTAGATTTACAATGAAAAGGAGCAGCAGAGTAAAGAAAAATGCAAAATATACAGTTGAAGCAAAAAGGAGCACCAGGAAGTGTGACGTAGAAGACAGAAGTTCCAGTGCTCAAGGAGATAAAAGTTTAAAGAAAAGGCTATGGGAGCTACATGGAGTAAAGGGGGTGGTGACCTCGGGGCGAGACCCCGTCCGCCAAGCTTCCAACTGGTTGAAAGGATTTAAAGAACAGAAAGTGGATACAAATGTAGTTGAACTGGGGGGCCACGCTCCAGAAGGAAACAGAACATGGCCGCTTTGGCCGAGGTGTTCTGCCTTTAGAGTCATGAATACAAGAAAGGGGTTGTGGAATCTCCCACCAAGGCTAAAGAAAGCTGCTGAGACCAGGCATGTGTCGGGGTGTCCCTGCATGGAGCTCAGAGAGGCCATTGTGTGAAGCTGTGGAACTGAAGCCTGGATTGTGTTGGAGACCCCAAGATATTGGAGGTGCCAGAGTGGTGGGATACCTGCCAAATAGAACTGCATACCACACGTGGAAACAGCCAGAGAGAGACGCGTGTTGCCGTCTCTGACATCAGACATGGAGATGCAGAGTTTGGAGTCTGCCCAGCTGGTTTTGGTCTTGCTTTGGTCCAGTATTTCCTCACTATGCTCCCTTCCATGCGTTTTGGAATGGTAACGTAGATCCTGTGCCATTGGATGTTGGAGTGTGTGATCTCCGTTTTGACTTTGATTTTACAGGGGTTACAGTTAAGAGACTGCTTTGAGTCTCAGAGACTTTGAACTTTGGATTTTTAAACAGTGTTGAGACTGTGATACACTCTGGGGTCTTTTGAAGTTGGACTGAATGCACATTGCATTTTGATATGGCTACAAGCCTATGGGGGCTAGGGAGTGGAATGTGATGTTTTGAATAAGAATGACCCCCATAGGCTCATATATTTGAATGCTTGGCCGCCAGGAAACGGTACTGTTTGATAGGATTAGAAGGATCAGGAGGTGTGGCCTAGTTAGAGGAAGTGTGCCACTGGGGGAGGGCTTTGAGGCTTCAAAGGTCCATGCCAGGCCCAGTGTCTCTCTCTTTGCCTATGGATCAGGATGTACCTCTCAGTTACTGTTCCAGCACCATGCCTGCCTGTATGCTGCCGTGCTCCGTGCCATGATGATAATAGACTAAGCCTCTGAAACTGTAAGCAAGCCCCAATTAAATGCTTTCTTTCATAAGAATTGCCTTGGTCATGGTATTTTTTCATAGTGGTAGAACAGTGACTTAGACATATATGTAACTAAATATATAAACACAACCTGCTGAGTCTGCTTAGTGTTGCTTGTGTGTATTTTTTTTTTTTTTTGGAGGTGGCTGACCATTTGGGACTAGATAGCCATTTTGGACACTCAGCTCTGGGGAAGACTAATTCTCCATCTCTCAGCATTTTGTAATTGATTGCGGCTCTTCATCTAGTGAGGGGCCCCATGTGGTTTTCATGCTGGTGTGTCACATGGAGAATGCTTCCTTCCTTTCTCTTTCTCTCTCCATCTCTCCCTCTCTCTCTTTCCCTCACCTACCTATCTTCCTTCCTTCCTTCCTTCCTTCCTTCCTTCCCTTCCTTTCTTTCTCTCTTTTGACAAATTCTCACTATATAGCCTAGGCTGGCCTAGAACTTGCTATGTAGACCAGGCTAGTCTCAAGAGATCTGTCTGTCTCTGTCTCCTGAGTGCTGGGATTAAAGGTGTGTACCACCATGCCCAGCTGAGAATATCTTCCTTAAACCAGCATTTACCATGACTGAAACAGAGCTGGTTGCACTAGAATGAGGTGACCTACACCAAGTCACCAAGGGCAGCAGAATGACTCCCTGACACTGTAACAGTCTGCGGAAGT